GCGCTTAGGTCTGCTCGAGACGCAGAACGCGAGAATCAGGCCAGTTACTAAGGATTGCAGACTTTTTTCCTGCAATTTCCGGACCTCAAAAAAAAAGCCATTCAAAGGCATCCCATCGGCGTTGCAGGGGTTTGAACCCAATTTTCCAAATGGTCTTCTCACACCGTACTGCAGAATCCCGTTTCATGTGTCGTCGCCGGCGGACAAAGAAGCGGAAAAAGGATGTGGGGTACAACATACTCATTCAAGACGGTGTCTCGTTGGTTTTGTTCGGCATCCCGAATCTCATTTGGAAAAAAAAAGCGGTTCCTGGGGCACTAGTCGACAAAGTGTCGAACCAAACACTGAGTTGAACACATCTATACTTGTCTTGCACGGGATATAAAACCTCTACTACACGGCCTGCGTGGTTGAAAGTCATCGTTCCGACCTGCAGTCACGAAGTTTCATAAATGGAGGGGTTCGAGCCGCAGTATAATTTGCAGCCGCACTGTAACTGGCACGACGCAAACGATGCGTTTCAATCAAAGACGTCGGGGCCAATCATTCCCCAATGGTCGCTTTTTTTTCGTGGTTGTACTTTGGCGACCGCAGTCTAACTCGACACTATGCAAACGAAGCGTTTCAACAATGTGGTGCCGCTTCACCTCCCACCGCGTCCTTTTGTTTCAAAGGCACTCCACGGGGATTGGTTGTACTTTCGCGACCGCAGCTCAAACTGCGCGCAAATGATGCGTTTCAATAACGCGGTGCCCATTACATCCCATTGCGTCTCTTTTTTTGTTTCCAACGCGCCCAACAGAAGCCTTTGCAATTTCTCCTCACACACATTTGCCACGTGTCCCGACATTCAAGGCTCACAGTCCGAATATTGCAAACGTGGAGGCCGCGTTCGCAAACCCGCCTCAAAATTCCGCCACTTGGTTTCCAATCTTTTTGGTTGTGGGTTTGATTGTTTCTTCCTGGTCACTCCATCGCTCATCGGAAAAAGGATAAAAAACAACAGCAAGGAGATTTTGTACAGCCTCCCTGGATTTGGATCTTCCTTCCACCAGGAGACATTTACTTCTGTTGACCTGGCTATGATTTTCCGGGCAGTAATCCATGTACGGGGTGTGGAGAGTCTGCCTAGTGCCATGGAAAGAACAGCGCCAACCATGGCATCCACCCCAACACTTAGCTTTTGCCATTTGACATGTCTGTGAATGACGCAGTCCGACGCATTCCCATATAGTGGCTAGAGGCGCACTCCCAAACCGCTGGTATTCGGTGCTTCACCTTGGCTCCTGGGAACCGTCATCCTGTCAAATTTCTTGCTTGCAGGAGTTGACGCGCTGATGCTTTTCATGTGATGCCTATGCGTCTTCTGTTCAACCTAGTCTATATCTTTTCTTCCCTGACGTTTGGGCATGAGTACGTCTTCTCGGCCATAATACTCCGTGGTGCATGAAAACGTCCTGGTGCCATGGTGTGGCGTGCGCTCACAAACCAGGGCATTCCCTCGGCTTTTCCCGACGTCACATTTTTGTCCACAGACGCGGGCTCATGATGGAGCCCCTACAAGAGTGTGGTTACCCTCAGGTGTTTGGACGCAAAGACACGTCGGCATCATTGGATTTTTGCTCTTGTTGGGGTATAATAAGGGTATAGATGAATGTACTGTATGATGGTTCTTTGTGGTGTAGACGATTATTTGTACGAGGAGTTGTGGGGACACTGGAGGGAAGAGAACGACGACTGCGCGCGGCTTGGATCATGGATATCGTGGGCTTGACCAATCAGAATCCGATCGCCGCGGGCTTCACAGGGCTTCCCCACTCCCGACGCCAAAGTCTTCCCAATTGCAATTCGTCACATCGTTGAAGTATATTGAACAGATGAACGCACCCCTTCGCACGGCAGAAACGTCTCCACCACCCGTAGTACGCGTAAACACGTCAAATAAACTCAAACTCGCCGAGTTCCGCCGCCTTTTACACCCCGCGCCCGTCGAAGCTCTCTCCCTCGACCTCTCAGAACCAGACACCGACGACCCCGTCACAATCGTCCAATACAAAGCCTCCCAGTTCCCCGCCTCTGCCCCCGTTCTTGTGGACGACACCTCCCTCAACCTCCCTTCCCACCACCACTTAACGCTCGGCACAAACATAAAGTGGCTCCTCTCCTCGCTCCCAACCATCCCCCACAACACGCCCGCCGAATTTGTGTGCCTCCTCGGACTTCGCCGGGGAAATCAAATTTTATTTTACAGAGGTGTCGTGAAAGGCCGCATCGTTCAACCGCCACGAGGACGCCATTACGGCTTTTTAGCGTACTTTGAACCGGACGGACGATCGAAAACGCTGGGTGAGGAGATTGTGGATGAAGCCAACGCGCGGTTTTACGCTGTCCGTGATTTTCTGGATGGGAAGGTACATTGTGTGAGGGAGGTGATGGAGACGTGGGATGGACCGTTTCAGGGATCGTGATAATGAAAAACAAATGCAAAGAGCGCGGGCTTTGGCTGCGTCACCCAAATACTGCATCTAGCAATGCTGTTTATTGCGAAAATATGCTGGGGAACTGCTACCTTCCTACACGTTCAAGGTTACTCTCAGTACATGCATTTTCCACAATACCCACAATCATCAAGACTACAAGCGGTGTAGTCTCTGTCAAAATCGTCGGAATCATCGTCAAAGTACTCGTCCGCCGGTTCATCATAGAGATCCGCAACCACGTCATCGTCTTCGTTCCCGCCTTTGTTACCCTCTTCCGCATCCTCACTCGAGTCTTTGTTCCCGCCTTTATTCCCGCTAGTACCGTTGTCCGGTGCAGAACCTTTGCGAGGAGGTAGAATGGGGGTGATGTGCGCATCTAGCGCTTTGAGACCAGTTGCGACCGGGTGCGAGGCTTTGAGGTCCTCGAGGTCATTCCCAGCAATCTCGTCACTTTCAATTTTAATACCCTCTTGTGTGTTGGTGTTGATATTCCACACCGGTTCCCTCCGAACCGAACCTTCAGCCTCCCCAGTTCCTCCCCCGCGTTCTGCAGCACCTCTAAACCTCCCCCCGTCATCCCCACAGACATCATCCAGCCCCTCAACCGGCAATTGACGGACGCAAGTGTCGGCTGGGTTGTCCGTTGCGTCTTGAGGGTTCATGGGTTGCTTTACAGGTAGCATGGAGTCGCAGAGGGTGGGTGACTGAACGTGGGGAAGTGGGTGAATTGGTGGGGCAGGCATGGGAATATGGGAAGGTTGGACCTGACAGAGGGGGAAAGGCGTAATTAGAAGACTGGTTTCACGGTTGATCCTCGTCCCACACCATATGTTTCGGTTAACGTAGAGGAAGAAAACACGGTCATAAACCCTACTTGCAGTTTTATGAAAAAGTCGCTGTATTGAAAAAGCATACAAAATTCGGAGGTTGGGTTCGACATGAAAAAAGGACTCTTTTTATAGGGAACCGCTCATCCAACAAGCATCTCAAAAGCGTCTCCAAACCGTCTCAAAAGCGTCGGTAGTCCCATTCCATCATCCATCGTCAAAGTAGTCCTCGTGAAGGATCCGTAGACATGTTTCCTTCACCGGAACACCCTTGCTCAATGGTGACATGAAGTATTTCTTTTGGTAGTCCGGTCTTACCGGCAAAAGTAGCCCGCCCGCCGACTTTTGTGGATGCCATGGAAGTCCCATTCACGTTGCGCATCACCCGTCATTCCAATCCTTCCACATTATCACCAGCTCGACAAGGGGCGGTGTAGGCTCGGGTTGCGCAGAGTGCAGGAATCTGTAGCGTTTCGCTCGCCCATTGTGGTGCGCGTCGCACAACCGTTACCAAAACCCGCCCGCACCACGCTTTTTTTTGTCCAGCATGTGTCCGTAAACCGTTTTATCGGTTATGTATCATCTGCACTCCAAATCGGAGTTTGGATGGATTAAAGTTGGATTTGAGGAACGGAACTTTTGGGTCGATGGGGATAACCTGACTTTGTAATAACCCATTTGAGAACAGTCGGATACGTTTGGTGGTATCGGTGAAGGACGTGACTGTTACCACTGGATGTGACGACTGCGCACCGTTATCGTGTCCTTTCCCGTTGTGGCGCGAAAAAGGCAACGACTATGCAAAAAGAAACAAAATACGGTCGTACGAGGCCGCCCGCGCAAACTTACATTAATCCTACGTGCCCCCCTTTCCACACGTTCAAGGGTACTCCCGGTACGCTAATACCCACAATCATCCGCGTTGCAAGCGGTTGCTGTAGTCTCGCAATCCATCATCATCGAAGCCATCGTCGAAATAGTCCTCCTGAAGATCCGCAGACATGTTTCGACACGGGGACACCCTTGGTCAATGGTGACATGAAGTATTTCTTTTGGTAGTGGTTCACCGACTACATAACCCGTAGTCCGGTCTTACCAAAAGTAAGGCCTTATAAGAGTTTGCGGTGTCCTCGAACAGATGGCCCTCTTCCCACACCCTAAAAAATGTGTATCCCAAAAGTAACGTCGGCGCGCCCGACTTTTGTGGATGCCATGTACATCCAACTTCACGGTGCGCATCACCCGTCATGATGGGTGGTGGGCGGGTTGCGCAGAGTGCAGGAATCTGTAGTGTTTGCTCGCCCGATATGGTGCGCGTCGCCAACTGTTACAAAGACTCCCGTACCACTTTTGTCCAGCGTGTCCGTAAACGATTCTATCGGTCGTGTGTCGTCTGCACGCCAAATTATGTCTCTAGACACGCTCCAAATGGAAGTTCGAAGTTGGATCTGTCTCAATAATAACCCATTTGAGAACAGAACTCGGATACGTTTGGTGGTATCGGTGAAGGATATGATTGTTACCACAGGATGTATCGACTGCGCACCGTTGTCCTCTCCCCTTCCGTTGTATTGAGCGGAAAGAGCCAACGACTAGGCAAAAAGAAACAACGTACTGCCACTAATCCTGCGGCAAAGTGAGAAGCAAAACCATTACTGTATACCGCCTTGCGACGCTATCGGAGCTTACGCTATGCCTTCTGAGAGAATTGAACTCTCGACCTTCTGCTTACGTAAGCGATAGTTACTAGGCAGACGCTCTGCCATCTGAGCCAAGAAGGCGTTCCCTATGAAAATCATTGGTTGCTGCCCGCTGATGAGCCGGTGACCATTTCGGTGGGTACCTAAACTACCGAGCTGCGCACTTCGGCGAAGAGCTTGCTGCTCTACGTGCTTCAGAGGGTCATGTCAGGCAGACGCTCTACTCCTGAACGAGACGCTCTGCCCCTGGGCCAAAAGGCGCGTTTTGTTTGAAAATGACAGTTTTGTGTGTGCGCTCATATTGCGGCATCCAGTTACCGACTATCCAAACTTATGCAGCGCACCGCCTTCATGGATGCATGCTTTGGAGAGTGCCGGAGTTTCGGTGTAATGTCCGTAGAAACGCTGTGGCGTTTGAGCCAAGAAAGGGGCGTTCGTAAAAACTAGTGTTTGAGGCACCGTTACGTTTCTCGGGGCATCCGAGGGGTTTTTATTTTGCAGTCATTGGGTACTCTGATTGTTAGTCATTTGTAAAGGTCGGACGTCGTCTGCTCGCAGCGGCGTCTTTGCCCGCCCCGGACGGTGGTGGAAAGAACAAAAAAGCAAAATGCTGCCCCATCATTTCATAACTCAAGTTCCGAATCGTCGTCTCACACCGTCATTTACAGAGGCGATCAAAAAGCCTCCCGACTGAATTGGCTTGTGTGTCCATATTTCCGCCTTACCGTAGACTGAACGTACCCAGTTGCGATGCCGGAGTACCAATGATGCCTATTTTTGACATTGGTTCCTGCGTTCGCGTTCAATCTGGTACCCACCAAGTCATTGTATGATCAGAAATTCGAAACGTGGGGGAATGCCCCAACGTTGGATATGACCGTCCACCACCGTAGACCCAAAAGCCTTGCTTGACCCGAAATACCACGAGACTCCACCCGTCGCAACTAATCGTTTGTTGAAGCGGTTCAGCCCACAAAAAAGGCATAACCCATTTTACCGAGAAGGCCTCTATCCAGCAATCGTAACGCGGGTCACGGGTACTGGCTAAGAACGTTCACCAAGGGCATGTACCACAATGCTCAGGTTCACCCATACCATGTACAGAAAGATTTTGCGTAAGACTCCCCGTGCAGTTGCGGTCAGTAGTCCACGGAGCAAGAGGGGCAAAAAAAAGGAAAGAGATCCTGGGTTCCGATTACGGGAGGACAACGGCCTTGATCTCGCGTCTAGCGTCTCCTAAACGTTTTAAACATTGGCTTCCCTTCGCAAATGCGTCTTGGAAGGTTATTTGCCTGTGCTTACCAGCTGATTCACCGATGCTCCACAACCCGGGACAGTTGAGAGACTCAACGACGGATGACATTTGATACCCCAAGCATATACTGAAGATCTTGCTCCAAACATATTACGAACCAGGTGGAAGAACGTTAGAGCATGTGGATGTCTATGAACGCGCTTCGCAATCTTAAAGGATGGTTTGAGAGTTACACTCCAATCCCTTTGGTATTTTCGGTGTAATCGACATTTTTTTCCGAATCTGAGCCGTAAGTGGACTGCGGTCGTAGTGGCGCTTTAATCGTCGGTATACTATTCCGACGCAGCAAAAAAAAACGGAGCCGAATGTCTGGATATATGCGATTCAGGGTTTGAAAAGCCCAATGAATATCGTTGGTGGAACGACCAAATGTTGGTCTCGATTGGTCTTGCACATGGAGCTCAGGCGCGTTCCGGTGATCGCGCGCATACCCCAGAATGCTGCTGCATTTGGGAGTTGCGTAGTCCACTTTAACCATTCTCCCCAGATGCATTTGGCCGGACTACGTGCTAGAAACTGCTCGCCGCTTCCTGTAAAAAAACTGCTCATTGCCTGCCCACACGCTGTGTTTTGGCTTACAATGTGTCGGTGAATTGAAAAGTACCCGAACGCCTGTACTTGTACAGTCATAATGGGATTAGACAGCTTACGCTCGACTCCCTGCGTTCTTTGTCAATTTCTGCATGCATGCTTTTTTGGCCTGATCCCGATATATATCAAGCAAACTACTCCCAAGACGGCGAGCGGCGTTCCATTGTCATGTAGCCCGGCGATGTGTTCCCCCCTCCCCGGGGTCCCAGCGGCTCCGTCCATGAGGGAGTGCATTGGATATCCCGAGTCCCGGTAGAGTGCAGCAGCTGGTTGAAAGATATGATATAGAAGTATTCTTAGCACGCACTCGTTACTCTGAGTATGACTGTTCCTCGAAACAAAGAAAAAAAGGATAAGGATAGTTATAGTCCGCCGATACAGTTCCGGGGGGAAACTGCAGGGGCGTTCCGCAAATATCGGACACACCAGTTGTTGATTAGCTGCAAAGCGAGTGTGCTTCGTGATGCATTGTGCGCCGGCGGATGTACGCGCACGCACAAAGGTGATATACCTTCCCATCAATCCCCCGAAGTATAGGGCCACAGTAGCCGCTCAGTGACTTTGAGAATTGGAAGACCTAATAATGCATGACCAAACCCACCAGCCGCTGACCTCTCCCATACTACCTGTTGAGTTGGTCAATATTTCCATTGGGTCAAACATTGTTCCCGCAACAATGGCATAGCCGTGAGCTCAAGTCTGCTCCAGAGCGTGGCTGGACGTTCTGGAAGATATAGGACACGTGTTGCTTGTTTTCTTACGTCCAGTGCCCCAAACGCCCTTCGCGAGAGAATCAGTACACTTGCGAGTTTATGGAGAGATATTTAGACGTTCAACAACTTGCTTGGTTTGCGCTCACATACCATTTCCTTTCTTGGTCCAGAGTTGCGATTTGCTTTGTCGTCGACTGCGCGCACAGTGGTGTTCCGCCGTCCGTATATCGCAACCGGTCGGCGGCTCCAAAAAAGAAGAGTAACGGAATTTCTCTTCGGTGGGAGCTCGGGTATGGTTCACAAGGGAGGCCATTTGTAAGTTGACACCACGCGTGCGGATGGTATTCGTTTGTATGTGTAGCCTGGGCAAAGCAAAGGACGGAAAAAAGCAATTTTTGGAAGCGCAAATCCATCGCTTGATTGATTTGGCAGAAGGCTACGCCCAGTCATCCGGATGAGAAAGGTTGGGCCAACCAAAAAAAAGGAAGTCAGAGCAGGTTGAACATGAATGGAGTTCAAAACGCGGGGAAGGCGCATAACGTCCGGAAGAGATCAGCCATCCAAGTATAAACTGAAAGCCCTGCTCACACATAGTGGTGGATTCAATGGGCAGTTGTCCGAAAGTGCTAGGAGGAGCAGGCACCACAAAAAATACAAAGATTCCTAAACACCTCCGCTGAGACCCAGCGTCCCTGCAACGTCAGGCATTAGCAATTATTGACCCAACTGTAAACTGAAGAAGAGATGCTTTACCGCACGATGGGCTCCAGATGCGGTGTTGGTATGGAGTTAGACCCTTCGCCGCCCACACACGATCCGGTATTCAGGCTAAGGACTTGCCAGTGAAGCGGAAAGCCACAGAACGTGCTACTTCAGCATCGGGGCAGGATGATTGGACCGATCACCATCATCGCCCAACTTGGCAAACAGACAAGGATGCCGTATCTTGAATCGAAAAACAAGGAGAATTTTGAGCTACTGGAGCTCATCCACAGTGACATTGCATTCGTCATGATCCCCTCCCTGAGTGGAGCAAAGTATGTGCTCA